CATGTCTACATGGCTGTTTCCCAGCCACTCTCCCAATATATACTTGTGTCCAATGTTATTCCATCCCAGATGCAGAATCTGGCATTTCAAATTGAAAAATTTCATCCCATTAATTGTAGCCCAATGCTCCTATTTATGTAGATCCCTCTCCAAGGCCTCTTGTCCCTCAAGAGGCAGCAACACCTCCCAGTTTGGAACCATTGGCAAATTCCTAATGGTGCATTCAACTCCTGCATCCAGATTGTTGATAAATATACTGAACAAAACAGGCTCTGGAATTGAACCACAAGAAATACCGATAGTATCCTTCAACTGGTCCCAGTTGCCAGCTAGATAGATGTAGCTCCATTCACTAGAATCCTTTGAGCTCTGTCCTTCAGCCAGTTTTTCACCCAGAACACCATGAACCTGCTTATCCCACAGTTGGGCAACTTGTCCAGAAGGATGCTCTGAGGGGCAGTATAAAAGCTTTACTAAAATCCAGAAAGAATGTGACCAGCAGGACCAGGGCATTGATTGTCCCCCTGTACTCAGCACTGGTGAGGTCATGCTTCAAACCCTGCATTCAGTTTTGGGCCCCTCACTACAAGAACATTGAGGTGCTGCAGCATGTCCAGAGAAAGGCAACAGAGCTGGCGAGGAGTCTGGAGCACAAGCCCTATGAGGAGCAGCTGGGGAGCTGCTCAGAGGGAGACAAAGAGTCTGGAGCACAAGCCCTATGAGGAGCAGCTGGGGAGCTGCTCAGAGGGAGCTGGGGTTGTTCAGTGTGAAGGAAAGGAAGCTCAGAGGGCACTTTATTGCTCTCTACAAGTACCTGAAGTGAGGTTGTAGTGAGGTGGGGATTGGCCTCTTTCCTCTGGTAACAAGCAACAGGACAAGAGGAAATGGACTGAGGTTGTGCCAGGGGAGGTTTAGATTGGATATGAGGAAAAGCTGCTTCACTGAAAGGGTGGTCAGGCACTGGAACAGGCTGTCCAGGAAAGTGGTGTAGTCACCATCCCTAAAGATGTGTGGATGTGGCATTTAGGGATGTGGTTTAGTGGTGGACTTGTCAGTGATGGCTGAACAGTTTGACTTGATGATCTTTGAGATTTTTTTCCAAGCTAAATGATTCAATGATTCTATTATCTTTCTAGGATTTTTAATCACATGGCCTTGCTTTTTTTGTGCTGGGGAGGGGTTGAGGTAGGGTGAGAAGACTTCCAAAGAAGCTATTAAATAAGGATATTAGATACTTAATGAGACCTCACTATACAGGCAAGATTTTTTACCAAATAAGAACAGTCCCTTTCCTACAAGAGCATTTTTTATCCCTTCCTTCTGGTCTTTTAACTTCCTCAGTAAATACAAGTGGGTTTGTGCTGCCTGTTCATAGACTTAAAATCTTTTTCAAAAGCCTGGATTAAGTGTTATTTGATATTGCTATAAAAGCTACTCAGTGAAACCTCTTATTCGAACACAGCTTTATTTTTATGTACGTTTTAGAATTCCAATAGTGTCTCTCAAAATTGGTTTTGAGAATTCTGTACAGCAAACCTAAGCCAAATGACAAGATGCCTTCCTTAGTACCAGACCAGATCATCCTATTGCCCTGAATACTAAAAGTGGAAAATGACCATGTAGTGTGTATGCAATAAGTGTACCAGTGTAAACCACTCCATAGTGCAGTTTTGCCCAGGGTATCATGGCCATGTGTTTAATTGGGGATTATTTTCATGTTCTTCTGGTTTCAGTTGTGATTGCTGGTGATGTTACTATCCCTAGCTGCTTCTCTCCCTTCATGGGAGGCAGGTTTTTTGCCTTTATGTCTTTTATTTCAGCTCATCCAACGTAGTTTCAGAGATAGATGAGAGAGAATCTATCATTAAATGCTGGAATAGATGTGTGTTGTTTTTTGGTTCATGTTTTTGTTGGTTGGGTTTTTTGCTTGTTTGTTTTTGTTTTTTTGGTTTTTTTTAAGGAAGCAATCCCGCCTTCCAAATTTCTGCCTCTCTAACCAGCACAGATGACCTTAGACTAGTTTCAGAGATAGATGAGAGCATCATTAAATGCTGGAATAGATGTGTGTTGTTTTTTGGTTCATGTTTTTGTTGGTTGGGTTTTTTGCTTGTTTTTGTTTTTTTGGTTTTTTTTAAGGAAGCAATCCCGCCTTCCAAATTTCTGCTTCTCTAACCAGCACAGATGACCTTAGACACTGAAAGCATTCAGTTGCACTGAAAAAAAAGATCAACATCAGGAAATATGTTGTAAACTGCAGAAGTCTGTGACAAAAAGCTTTCTTAAATTTTTTTCAACTGAAATAACTGTCTTGGGACAGAGTACATTTTCTTCTTAGTAACTGGTACAGTGCTGTGGTTTTTGGATTCAGTATGAGAATAGTGCTGACAACACACTGATGATTTGGTTGTTACTCAATAGTGCTTACCCTAAGCTGAGGGCTTTTTGATTTTCCATGCTCTGCCATGAAGAGCTGCACAAGAAGGTGGGAGTATGGCCAGGAGAGGTGATCCAAACTGCCCAAAGGGATACTCCATACCACAGAATGCCATGCCCAGTATTTAAACCAGAGGAGTTACCTGCAAGGGAGCTGATGCTGCTCAATGATGGCACATGGTGCATTACTTTTTCTCTTGGATTTTTTTTCTCTCTTCCCCCACTTATCATTATATTATTAGCTTTTCTGGTTTTTTTCAATTATTAAACTATTTTTATCTCAACCCACAAGGTTTACCTTTTCTTTCCAGTTCTCCTCCCTACCATGATGGGGGTTAAGGAGAGTGACTTTACAGCTGTATGGTATTTATTTTGTGGCTGGGATTAAACCACAACAATAACTGCTTTCATCTGCACTGGGATACACAGGAGAATCCTGATATATGGTCCTTGAGACCCTTCCTAGCTTCTCTGCTTAAAGCTTTGTTCTGAAAGCTACGTACCTTCTGCTGCTCCACTCATCTCTAATGGATAACTTGATGTCTGACCTAACAACTTGTTTAAATGCTTATTGGACTGGTCTGGAGATCACCTTGTGAGCACAGAGGTAGATATGTCTTTGATTATTTCTCTGGTTAGTGATTGGATCTAAGGCTCTAATGGATAAACTCTGGAGGTCCCAGTTACAGAAGCTTCCTTTTCTGCAGCTGTCCACCCTGCTCTATGCCACATACCTTGTTTCCTGTGTGCAGCAGCAGAAGTGCTGGTGTCTGTATCTACCTAGCTCCATTTCCTGTTAGTTCAGTAGCAGAACCCACCCCGTGTTTGCCTCGTGGATGGTGAGTTGCAGCTCTTAAGGCATGAGCACAGTCACTGCAGCTTCTATTCACTCTCCTCAGAGACTGAGAACCACTGGGCTCAGCAGGGGCTGGTACATGTGTTAGGATATGAAAAGCAACAGGCAGGCATGAAGTGCTGGTACCTGGAGCTGACAGAGTGGCTTTGTTTTGGTGACAGTGTTTGGTCCCCACATCTTGTTCTATTTTTCTCCTGATCTATCAACTATACTGCTGAGCTGGTTTGTGTACACTGTCTGCTTTTGAGTAATGTTTGTTCACCAAAGATTTTTATTTCTTTAAAAGCATGACTGAGTTATCTGGTCATCCTTGTTTATTCTCACAATAGTTATCTTAAAAAAAAAAGGTGAAAAATCAAATCAAGTAATGTTTTTCATCTTTGGTTACACAGAACCAGTGGTAGTATATGCTCAGGTACCTTGGAGTGGCCAGATGGTGGCAACTTCTGTAATTGCTTGTTAATTTTTAAAGCACAAAGTGGAGGAAATGAGATTTTTGGTGAAAGAGCTTGACTTATTGCACTATTGGAAAGAACAGGTCCATGTAAACAAAACAAGCAGTGGTATTGGTGTGGTCCTTTTCTGTCTGCTCAATGGCATAATCTTGTGAGAGCTTGCACTAACTATGTAAGATATTGTTGGTATTAAATTTGGGTGAAAAGTGCATGGTCAAACATCCTCATTCATAAGAATGAGACTGAACTAACACGATTAAATCCTTTTAGGCCCTCGTTTTTGCAGTTTTAAATGTCTTGAAGTATTTATTAGGAAAATAGAATGCAGCTCTCTCTTCATGAAAAAAATCTATTTTTCTTTGCCCTAGTTTAACAAAGCACTGAAGCACAGACTTGGATCTTTTGGGAATTACTTAAGGGCTCAGAGCCGTAAATCCCATTATTGAGGATTTAGGAGTAGATTAGATAACCACAAGAGGTCACAGTTGCTTCACAGATATAAGAGAGGAGGCCATATTTGAAAATCTTTTCTCTTTAGAGGAAAGCTGCCAAAAAAAGGTTGTTCTTAGTTCATGGAAAAAAAAATGAGCTTGACATGTGAATTTCCAATGTGAAATGCATACGAAAGTAGGCATGACATAAGAGAAAAGAACAGTTTGTTAAAAGGAAGAGAGTTGGTTCTAACAAATTCTGCTTTGTATTGGGCTATTTGTAGAATTTTTAAAGGGGTTCTCAGCTTGCTAAAGACAATCCTTTCGTAAATCCATCTATTCCATAATATTAGCCAAGGAATTAACTTGATCCTGGGTATTTCAAATGGTATTTTGAAGACTGATTTGGTATCTCATCTGCTTGTCATACTTTCTGCATTCTAAAGTAGTTGGCTTTAGAAATCTAGTATGGGTAGCAAAAGGAGCCATTTTCACTGTCATTTCACTGTTAATAATTTTCTGTTGTTTCTATATCTTGTGGGTAGATCACACAAATAAAAAGTTTCTTCTACTTTATTTGAAATCTGCTTGCAATACATATTTAAACTTCAAATGTGGAGTGGCAAAATACCAGAATCACTTTCTGACTAAATGAGCTCCTACTAGGGTCAGATCATCCTTGTGGTCTTCAACATATTCAGGAGTGCTTGATTTCAGATTTCTGCATCATTGCATGTGCCTGTGTCTGATTTACTAGCAACAGTAAAGTATTGCCAGTGGTCCACAGCAGCCAAAAGAGATAATGCAGCATTCTTGTTGATGCAGTACTGGCAGAAGAGGATGAAGAAGAAAATAGAGAAAAAAATTAAAAGGAAGGAAATAAAAAGAAAGGCATCTCATTGATCCTGATGTTTTTGGAAAGGTATGTTGACTTTTTGTGGCTTCCTGTGTCATCATCTGCAAGTGGTAGCTGAGTCTGCTGAATGATGGATGCTCCCTCCTAAGCAAGGGGAGGACACTCCCTGACTTTTCACCCACAAAGCAGATGCAAAGCAGTGACCTCTGATCCTCAGGACTTCATTATCAAAACCCTCAGCTTCCCTCTTCCGTGTCTTTCAGAAACTGATAATCTTCCTCACTGCTGAGGGGGAGGAGTGAACACAAACTTCCCACCCTGGAAGGCTTGGCAGTCCCTGCATTTTCAGTGTAACTGTCTGCCAGCAGTAATTGTTCTTGTGGATGCAGACACCTGGGAAAATGTGTGTGTTTCCCTGCAGCTCTGTCACTAGAAAAGAGCTAGTAAAGGAGCTACGTGTTTATCCCTCCTTGTGTTCTTACTGGTGGTTGCTAGGTACTTGGAAATGCAGACATGTTCTCATGTTTAGGACTCAAATAAGCAGATGCCTGGGAACCCGTTGGTGTACAGAAGCAAATATTTTCCTAGAAGTGCAGAGTCCTCTTGTTTAAGAGGTGCCAGCTCACACGCAGAGCTTTGGTACCAGAGAGCCACTGCCACACCCGTGTGCAGCACAGCTGATATCCCAGTGCTCTCATGGTGGAGCTGCAGTAGATAAGGGGCTGTGCTGTGTGTGATAGCAGGATTGTTGTGTTCCATTGGCTGATGACAGAGGGAGCTCGTCCCTGGTTCTAACAAAACTATAGTTTTATTTCATTTTATTGATTTATTTTCTGTTTCTCTTTTTTTATTAGCCCACTTGCATGGAGCTGCCAGAGGAGCTGTGTCACTGGCAGACATGCAGAAACTGAGAAGGGAGAAAGCAATAGAAGACTACAGAATGAATGAGGATGGTCTTTTGATCCAACCACACGTGGAATTTAATAAAGAGAAACAATCCTCAGGAGGACAGAAACTACAGAGGTTACAGTGATTGCTTTCCCACAAAAAAAAAGAGAGGGTCTCAAAACACATACTTCAACAATCAAGGATGTACTTTGTCAAAGCAGAGCTTGAAAATCCAATTCATGTAAAATCTGTGGGAGCACCTTAAACTGACCTCAAGCAGACTGTATGAATTTAATTTCTGACACAGGTGATTTGATAAGCTCAGACTGGGTGTTTGGAGACATCCAAGTGAAAAAGAGGCTATTCCCCTTGCAGAGGTGTCAAACAAAAGCTCCTGACTTTACAATGGCAGGTAATTCAACATTCCATTGCTGAATGGAAATAATGATGGTCTGTCTTTTGGAGGAAATTCTTGCTGTGTGGAAAAAGTAGCAAAACTTTCTTGGGTAAATATAAGTACTGCTTTCCCTTTGGTTCTCTTTTGGGAATGGCATAGAGAGAATAAATATGTTGGAATGGAGTCATCACTGATGCACAAGACTAAAAATGACAATTTTCTTCAAGAAGAGAAGAGTTATTTTTTAATGGTCCATCAGGCAGTGATGCTGCTCAGTGCCAGCTGTTTGTGTGAGCGTGGTACTGACAGGTAACCAAACCATGCACGCCTCCTACACAACACAACACAACTCCTGCCTGTGCTTAGGGGTACAGCCACACCAGTTAAGGACCACTCTAGTGAAGTTCTACTGGAGCAGTAGCAACGATCTTATTTTTATATCCTAGCAACTGTGTGTGGTGGTTTGAGCCCAGCTGGCAACTAAGGACAATGAAGCTGCTCCCTCCCACCCTGCCCCAGGGGAATGGGGCAGAGAATCAAAAGTAAAACGTGTAGTTTAGGATAAGAAGTTTAATAGTTGAAAAAAAAATAGAGTAAATAATAAGAATGATAAAAAAGGAAAGAAAAACAATACAATTGCTCACCCTATGCTAATTCCAGATCGGCCTCATTTCCAAGCAGCTGCCCTCGGTTATACTGGGCATGATGTCCTGTGGTATGGAATATCCCTCTGCTCAGTTCAGGTCAGCTGTCCTGGCTGTGCACCCTCAAGATTTCCCTCTCAGTGGCAGAGGATGAGACAGGACAAGTCTCTGACTTAGGATAAACTCGATTTAGTGAAACTCAAAACATCAGGTTTTTTATTCTGTATGCAAAACTCAGTACAGTCCCAGCCACTGAGGAATTAACTCCTTCTAGCCCAAACCAGGACACTGGTACCTCCTGAGTGCTGGAGTGACACAGCTTAGTATGAAACACCGATTTTTAGCGCTGTGCAGTAGGTGATCTGGATTAATCACCCACTTAAGGATTTGCTCTAAGTGTGCTGGTTAATGGGTTTTGGGAGGCAGCGGTGCTGAACACCTGATGGCCACACCGCGTTTACGGTTATGTTCGCAATAACCTTCAGGCCTATTTCCTCCGGAGCTGCTCCACTGCAGCTCCCAGCGCATGACAGAGCGAAGCGGCAGCAGGCACGGAGCCCCACGAATGCCCGCACGTGGTAACCCTGACAGCGCCCCGCGCCCAGCGCCGCCAGCCCCTCACCGCTCTCGTCATCTGCGGGGGCTGCCAGGCCGGCACAGGCCCCTGGCTGCGCCGGGCGGCCTCGGCGGCACGCACACGGGCCGGGCCGGGCCCGCCTCAAGGGCGAGCGCGCGTCACTTCCGGGACGCACCCGCCTCCCCGCGCCAGCATCGCGAGACCCCGCCCCGCCTCGCGCGAGACTCGCTGGCTCACCCGGCCGTCTGGCCGAGTCCCTTCGGCAATTTCCGTCACCGCCAGACCCTACCAATCGGCCGCAGGAGCGCATCGATGAGGAAGGGCCCCCCGCGGGGTCCCTGCGGGGCCGAGCCCCGCGGTGCGGGCGTGGGGTCCGTGCGGCGGCCACGGCGGCGCGCACGGGCCGGGGGGGCCCAGGCGCGGGGCCGGGGCGGCGGAGAGGCATGCGGGGATCGATTGATCAGGCCTGGGCATGGCGCCTCTCCTCCCCCCCGCCATGGCTCCCCGTGTCCCTGCTCCTCTCCTCTCAGTGAGCGAAAGTGGCCGCCGCCGCCGTCCCAGCGCCCGCAGCCGCCGCCTCCTCCTCAGCACCAGCGCGGGCGCCATCTTGGCGAGGCAGGAGCCGGGAGCGCCCCGCGGCAGGAGACAGGCAACGCCAGCCCCGGCAACGCGGGGCGAGAGGCCGGGTGGAGCAAGCGGGGGAGCGAGCCCCGGAGACACCCCCAGCCCCCCGCCGCCGCCGCCGCGTCGCCGCCGGGCCCGCTACCCAGGTGAGCCACCGCGGCCACCGCGCAAAGGCACGCCGGGCCGGGGCTACTGGAGGCGGCACTGGGGGCGCCGGCCGGGCAGGCCGCGGCTTCCCCCCCCGCGCCGAGCGGCGGCCGCAGCAGCCGGGCCTGGTGCCCGCAGAGCCCGGCGGGGCGGGGGCCCGCGCCGCCCCAGCGCTCCCGGAATAGCCACCGGCACCTGCAGGAAGGGGCCGCCTGCCAGACTCGTGGCGTTGTTGATGGAAAGTGTCTCCCGGGTGCCCGTGAGGCGCAGCTCAGCGCTGTGTTCGCGCTGTGTTCGCGCACTTCCCTAAAGCTGCGCTGGAAAGTCCGCTCCTGTTTGGCTGCAAACAGGTAGCCCAGTGCCATTTCTCTGTGCGACCCAATACAGCTCCTGGTCGTGATTTAGCTCTATACTTCTTGACGCTGTTGCCTGTCTTCTGTGGAAGATTTCTCCCACTGTGGTGTTGCAGATTATAATAAACTCCTTTAGTTTATTTTCGCCTTTGCGTGAAGAAAATGGTTCAATTCAAGTTAGTTTTTTTAATAGTGAAATGTGTGTAATTCGGATTTTGGTTTCTTCTCTTACAAACAAGTCGACTGCATGGATTTGTACAGCACATCTGATGAGCCCTGTATATATGTGACCAACACAGTTTTTAACTTAAACGATTCATTTTTGTTGTCACTCCTTTAGGGCGTATGTATGAGAGTGTCGTGACACCGAGGGGTTGGTGAGATGTGAGTGAAAAGTACAAGAAATAGAACTGTAGCTTGAACCTTTTTCCTAGGCTAAAGGATATTGCCTGTAACTCTTCTCTTGTTTATTTCTCACATGTATATTGTTGAAGTTGCTGAAAATACTGCCTCCCAATTCTTCATGCGTCAAACAAGCAAGTTTGGATCCATTTGAGTATAACGTAATAAGCTGTAAATTCGGTAATAAGCATGGTCTTTGACATGCTGGACTACATGCTAGCTTGGTTTAGATGGCAAGTGCTCTTAGAGCTTTTTTTGGACATAGTTCCCTTTTCGTGGTCTGGGGTGGAGGGAGTAAAAACCAAAACTGAAAATATCCATGCAGTTGTTATTTTGTGTGCACAGAATGGCAAAGTGTGAGGGTAACTGCTGGTGCTGCTGTGTAGAGCAGAGAGTAAAAATGCATTGTCAGAGACCTCCATAAATTACTATTAACCGCTCTCTTGGGACAAGAATTACTCTAATTGAACAATTAAATAGTTAGGTTTGTTTTTCTGCTAGTTTAAACTTGGTAGCAGAGCTCTGACACGCCTACTTTTGTGTTCAGTATGTTTGAAAGTATTCTGGTGTTTGCTACATATGTGCCTCTGATACACTGCTCTGTAGTTTTTCTTTTAAATAATAAATTAGGTCCTATCTGTAACTGGGTTTTTTTGGGAATTGGAAAATCCAGAGGCAGTGCCCTGCTGGCTCTTCTCTGTGTTTAAAAGTGATTAAAAGGTGGAACACAGATCACTGAAATGCTGTCTCATTCCTTGGAAAACAATATGAAGCCTTACCACAAAAGCAGAACAGCAAAGTAAAGCATCTAGTTTACCTAGATTTCATTACTCAGAAAAGCAATTAAGATGTCTTTTTTTAATTTCAAACTCAAAGGGTGTGAACTCAGAGTTTAGTTGTATATACATTAATTTTATTTGTTCAACTTGAGGTTAGTGGAGGCTTTAGGTTCATATGAAATTTTGTATTTGCTTTTTGAAAAGCCATAGTGTCTTATATATCTCAATTATATGTAAGACACTTCCATGAAAAACCCTATATGGGAATTATGTTTTGCTTTAAAATGTGGTCTACAGCTCTGGGAAATTGTAGTTAATGTAACTGTGCATTTACGAAAGCAATCTAAAAGAGTGGGGAAAGGAGAGCATGTAATTCTCCTTCAAACAAAATAGTTCTTCACATTTTTCTATACCACTACAATTTTTTTTTTCTGTTGGAGATTATATGCATTTAAAGAAGACTGAAAAAAATATGCCTAGCTGCTATTACTGTGCTAGTCTGTGTTTTCCACACCGACCTTGACTGGATGAATCTTCTGTTTGGATATATTTGTGTCAGGATTTATTCTGGAGATATTACTACTGGAACATCTCACAGCATTAACTGTTCTGCTGCTCCAATGAGACCTGTATGTCTCAATTCTAAATTTCTTCAGGAAGGCAAAGTATTTTAGGGATTTGCATAAGTTTAGAAAAATCTGTCTTAATAAGTTGGTGTCAAATTGCAAAGCATGAAAAACCCATGTGTGGGAAAAACCCAGAAAACTGCTAAAATTGCAAGGCAACTGAGGTGGCACAGAAGGTTGTATTTTGGACCAGTTTTAATCCTTATATAGATTAAACCTTCCATGCTATAAATAAATGATGAATACGTAGTTTCTGTGATTTCAGGTTTTTGTCCACATGGATGTTTTGTCAGTGTGCTTGCAGTGATGAGATGGAGAAGAGAAAAGAAGCTGCTTCTGTGGGCTGAAATACTGGAACAAGTATTGGTGCTCACCTGCCAGCTAGTCACACTTCATATCCATGCTCTTAGTCTGTGGCTGGGGAGACTGAGTTACGTTCACCTCCCTGATTTGCCTTGCTAAGTGCATTAGCTGCAATCCAGTACCTTTTACTTGCATGGCAGCTTGTGTTTGTGTATGTGCCCTCAGCTAGGAGTGGAGTTGTTATCATTATTTACTATGACAGTTGATGTTAGTCATAAAGAACAGAAAAAGTAATCCTCTGGGCCTTATCTGAGGTGTAGAAGTGGCAGCAACTGAAGGGAAAAAACACAAGAACCTTATGGGTGAAAAGTATTGCTTCAACCAGCTTTCCAAAGCAAACCCCATGCAGCTTGCAGCTAGGCACAAGAGCCAGATTTTGCACTTAGCACTTATGGGGTTCCTTTTTGATACCAGTAAGAAAAGCTTGCTGGACTTCCATTCAGAAATATGCAGTGAATATTTGTTTAAATTGGGAGAATCTACTTTTGAAGCTAAGCTGCTTCAAGAGACCATGGTTTTGCTGTTTGGTTGGTGCAGGTCAGTGGGCATAAAATTTAGCAATCTTGTTGTAAAACCTAGCTGCTCTTAGAAAATGTCCTTGGAGGATTCTTCTCCAGTGCGGGGTGTTTGCTTACTGACTGGATGCTATAAATGGGCAGACTTGAAAAAACAGGAGTGAGGGAAGAAACCCCACACCTACATTAACATTGAATTAAGCTTGGGATTTAAAACAGAATAAGGAAGGCTCTTTCAGAACTGAACTTAGATATTAAAAAAATACAATTACTATGGAAGTTATTTGCATGAAGTTACTACATTCCTGCTGGTATTTTACCTGTACTTTTAATAATTTAGTGGTCCATATAATACAATTAAATGGCTAAAGTGTGAACTTCTGATTAAGAGTGCTAGAAGATTTAAAGTGCCAGCCTGGCAGTGAAGAAGCTATTTATTTCCAAATGATGTTTTTCTAAACTGTTAGAACTCTAGGGAAGAGGAAGGGAGAAAGCAAATAACTATTGAATTTGGTACTGAAACTTAACATGAAGTTGGTATATATCAGTAAGAAAGTTATGATGGCACAAGGATTACTCTGCAGCTTCTGCTCATTTTACCCCTGTAACATGAGTCTTTACCGAAATGTTACAATCAGTAATGAAATCTTTTTGAAAATCTGTGTTTTGTCCTTAAACTGAGTAGACAAAAGGATAGATTTGTTTCAAAAATGTCAAAGAAAGGTGGAATGAATGTCATCACCATGTAAATCTGTCGGATCCCAGGACATCTCTCTGGATGCCCTGGATGTCTCAAAGCCCTGGCAGGGGCTCTGACACCCTGGCAGGAAGCCAAAGACACCTGGAAATTCGATCTTAATTCATGGAGCAAATTGCCAACCTTATATGAAGAATTACAGGTCACAAAAGTTTAAGCAGCACAGTAGTAGGAATCACAGGGTGAAGGAAAAAACTTTGGAACCTTGTACAGGGGGGTTTGAAATTCTGTACATGGGGGTCGGGAGTCCCAAGATGGAGGGATTTGGGCGTGCCCTGTCCTTCTTCTTTCTTCTCCTTGGCATCCATGTTCAGGATGATGTTGGCATGTGTGGATTGGTTCATAGTGAAGGTGCACTTGCCAACAAGGGTGAAAAGTATTGGAAATTGAAGGTAAATATACATAGTTTTCACTATAAAAGAGATAACCACCCCGTGGGCAGGAGAGAGTGCCCTTGGCTGTCCTGCTGATCAGACCTCGGCTGGACAGACAGAAAAACTTTGTAGATAAGGAACAATAAACTCAACTGAAGACCAAAAGCAAGAGTCCAGACTCCTTCTGCGAGAGCGCGGCCTGCCCAGAGCCACCTTTTCTGTGCTGGGGCAGAGACGAGTAACAGCCGACCCCGGCATAAATCCGCTGAAGCAGTATGTTGGTGATGTCCTATACAGTTACATACAGTAGTGGGTCAGGTTCTGTGCCTCTCATTTGTTTCTGTCTTCTCTCACTTCAGTGTTTAGTCAGGTTTTGCTATTGGAAATCTTTGTTTGTTAAAACCTATCGTGGAAATGAAAGAATGGAGAATGAATTATCTGTCACTTTACCTTCTGTATTATTACTTTGATCGGCAGAGAAGCACTCAGTGACTGTCAGCATATAAATAAATGAAAGGCTGAATTAAATGTCTGAGTTGCTCACTATTCAGTATGCTTGTGTAACACTAACTAAATTTCTATTGGGCATTGTAAATATGTTTTAAGGCTATTGTTAAGCTCTTCTGTGTTTATTTGTTTGTTTGGTAGGGAGGATACAGACTAGCAACTGTTTTAAGAACGAGAGTAATTAATGTTGTATGTACAGGAGCCTTGTGGAGCAATTAAAACAGGAAGACAAGCAAAAGTGTGTCTTTTTATATGGATGAAATGCAGAGGAGTTATACTATGTCAGGTCAAGGAGGACTTTATTAGTGTGGAAATGCAAGGTTGAGTTGGGAATGTTATTTTCTGCAAGGAGCAGACAGGTGAAAGATGCCATTTTTTTTTAGTTAACTGTGTTGATATGATACATGCCCTTGTTCATGCATTTTGGAATGGAATGGGAAAAGGAAT